ACCACATTTGTAAGACAGCCCTAGAGATTACCCGCAGGACTCCGTGGAGACATGGCTAAGATAGAGATGACATGTAAGGGTATTTCCCACATATGTATGTTTGAACTTTGACATTGTTGGCTTTCACGCTCTTCAGAAGAGGCCTAAAAGCCATGAGATGTTCTTGGGGTCAGATGAAGAGGCCTATGTGGTAACCCAAGCAATTCCCTCCCTTCTCCCCAAGTAGCTCCTCCTTCACTTGGCTACTGTTTACATAAGAGTTTCTTCTCTCACAGGGTCTGAAAATCACTTCAATATCAGAGGAAAACTGATGAAGGCACCGTTCCTATGTCCAACCAGCTGCCCTGCCACCAGCACAGGGGGTGGGGGTGACCCCCAGCTGCACTCATCTAAAAGAGCCATCGATCACAGTGTCTGGGGCTGGGTTTTGAAAATGCAAAAACCTCAGGTTCCTCTGGACCATGAACCTGTAGCCTAAGGACGAAGGGCACAGAGGCCCACTTCTCATTCCTGTGCAGTTAAGGGACAGCACGCTCCAATCATTGTCTTTAATTCAATAACAATGGACTGTCTGACACGTGTCCTAATAGAGCAGAAGTTAATGCTCAAGTACAGACATAGCATAGACTAGGCTTGAACAACAGAAAACACTAAGTGTGAAGACGAACAACGCTCAGCAGCGGCTTCAAGAGAAGGTAGACACAAGAAAGGACCTTGTTTCTACGATCTTCTACGACAGCCGTCAAAGCAAAGCCCCTGGACTTCAGCAGAATGATCATCTGGAGTTCTGTGCTTCGGAGTCTGTGCAATCCTTGGCTGGAGACGGGGGCGGGGCTGGGGGTATGGTGAGGTAGGCCATGCTAGGATAAGAGGCTTGTTCTGAGTTGAAATCACAATCGGCTTTGCGGTGTAGTTTGGCAACTGTCTCCTCTCTAAAAGGAAAAGTACAAACGGAATGTTAATCACATGAAAACGGAAACCAAACCAAACCAGTTGCTGGTGGTCAACCTCACCACAGGGCGATCCCGGGTGTCAGATCTGTGTTCCTTGCGGCTTTTGACGGCAGACTTTTTAGAAGTAGACAGGCTTTTCTTCTTCGGAGGGGCTGGGGTTGAAGAAACCAAGCAGCGTCCATCAGCACGTAAGAGAACCGCTGCCAGCCTTGGAGGGTCTCCTTGCAGACCCTTTTATGCACAGAGTGCAACCCCTGGAGTCAACGGAATGTGAGTCCACGCTTCTCGGTCAGTGGAGGTGCCTGCCTTGGACCTGGTGGTGCAATGGGACCAGTGGGGCTGGGACTCTCTCCCAGGGACATCGCTTGGGATGGAAGGTTTTCCCATCAATCGACTCCACTCTATTGGCCAACTCCTTATAGATTTTGCCTCAAGGAAGGTGCAATTTCAATGTTTCATTTGCATTCTCACTGTTCTCTGGGTGAGCCAGCCTTCAATGGGCTTCCCTTTCCGCCCAGCCTGCTCATCACCAGCCCGCCATGTTCTCTTCTCCTTCTGCCAAAGTAAACTAGGCACCTTCTGTGAAGGCTCAGGAGACCCCGACTTCCAAAGGATGAGACCAAGTGATTACAGATGCGGATTTGACTGTTCACTGAACACCTACCTACTGTGTCCCAGAGACTGCTTTAGAAACTGAGGGGGTGAAGACAGAAGGGGATGCCTGGCCCACTTCATGTGTGTAGGAGGAGGCCGAAACGGAATCCAAAGTCAGATCTCCTGACCACAGGTTTACGGCTGCATCTTTCCATTGGAGCAGATCCCTACTGTTGCTGAAGGGAAGGGCTTGTTTGGCGTCTAGGAGCAGCCTAGAAGGATGCCATCTCGTCCCTTCTGGGTAGGTGTTAGAGCAGTCAGCACAGTCTCCTAGAGACTAAAGCCACTGAACCAGCACTGTCAAAGTGACCCGGCACCCCATCAGCCAAGACTTTCAATTCCTTTCTATGTGTCTTAACAAAGAACATTTATATAATTTATGCCCGTTTGCTAAAGTTTTAAGTTCCAATAAACTCTAAGGTCAAGAAGCACTGTGAGAAATATTAGATTGAAGTCCACATTCCAAATGAATAATCCTGATTTGGGGGGCAGGATTGTGTGGAGGAAGTTCTTACCAGATTTAATCAGATCATTTTTTTAACCCCATCATGTTAACTCGCAAAGAACTCAACCTACAAGTGTCAGGGTTGCCGCTTTTTGATACTTTCTCACTTTTGCATTAGAATTTTTTCAACAAAGAATTGAACACACAGAATTCCATGAAGCATGTAAGAGGCCACTTTCCCCGACGACAGACTCCTTGCAGCAGCATCTGTATGCCCTTAGAGCAGTGGGCCCAAACCTTCCTAATGTGTGACTCTAATACAGTTTCTCACATTGTGCTGACCCCCCAACCATAAAATTATTTTTGTTGCTACCTCATAACCGTAATTTTGCTACTGTTATTAGCAAACAGTAGCAAACCCCCAAAGGGGTCGCGGCCCACAGGTTGAGAACCGCAGCCATAAAGAATTGCACTTTTAAGCCCACAGGGGACGTTCTACTCTGTTCTCTAGGGTAGCTGTGCGTCAGAACTGACTTGATGGCAGTGAGTTTGCCTTTCAGAGAGGAGAGGGCATCATGATAGGGGCTAATTTTGAGAATAAAAATTTTCTTTGAAAAAGGTTGCCCAGTTTAATTAGCACTCTCATAGTGCCCAATTTTAATATAAATCTACCTTGAAGGTTGCATGAGCATACTTTGGCACAGTATTTGTCTTTCAGAAATCCAAACTTAACTGGGCATCCTGCAGTCTATCTGCCAGCCCTCCCCTCAGGGCGAACAACCTCAGCAGAGGAGGGCTTTAGAGCCCAAACTGGCAACCACTTGTGCCATTCCCGGCGGGCAGGCGGGCCTCTTTCTCTAGAGCCAAGTGAGCCCACGGCGAAGCTCTTTTCTTTCTATCGGCTAAGAACTGGCTCCCTCATTCACTGCTTCCATGTCCGCTAGCTCGGTGGTGGATGAGACCAGCACTCTCCGTGCCGTTAGGAAGCACACAGGCCAGGAAGAAATGAGGGCCAGCTTCAGGAGGGTTTGCGTGCCATCTCCAAACTGTAGAATCATACATTTTTATACCAGGAGGCTGTAGCTCCCACCAGATGAACAAAGCCATCATTGAGACCACTGCTCTGAAGTTCACCCCCAAACCCAAAGGGACCTCACCTACTGGAGAACTTAAAGACGTCCTACCCTACGGTGACCAGATTTAAAGTGGGACACCATTGACCGGGGGCCGGGGAGGGGGTTCTTGATTAAAAATTTGGTCTATATGGACCAAATAGACCATTCCGTAGCTTGTCATGCATTCTTTCCAAATATGGGGACCTAAAAAATATTTTTAAATCATTTTATTAGGGGCTCATGCAACTCCTATCACAATCCATACAAACATCAATTGTGTAAAGTGCATTCGTACATTCATTGCCCTCATCATTCTCAAAACATTTGCTCTCCACTTAAGCCCCTGGCATTAGGTCCTCATTTTTCCCCTCCCTCCCCACGCCCCCCTCCCTCACGTGCCCTTGATAATTTATAAATTGTTATTTTGTCATATCTTGCCCTGTCCGACACATCTTCCTCCACCCACTTTTCTGTTGTTCGTCCCCCAGGGAGGAGGTCACATGTAGATCCTTGTAATCGGTTCCCTCTTTCCAACCCACCCTCCTTCTACCCTCCCAGTATTGCCACTCACACCACTGGTCCTGAAGGGATCATCCGCTCTGGATAAATTGGGACTTTTTTAAAACGCCAAAAATCGGGACTGTCTGGTCACCTTATCCTACCCACAATGGGCGACAAGCCCTTTTCTTCCTCTGTCAGGGCAAGCCTGTCTCCAGGCAGATGATTGAGGAGCTTGGTAGAGCTCGGCAGGCGGTGGACACAGGATCTCAAGCCTGCCAGGAGAGAGAGGGGAGGGGCAGAGCTTTTGGGTACCTGGTGAGCATGATGGATCTGCGCCTGGTCACCTCAGAGGTTAGGTCTCTGTAGGAGATGTTAATGACGCTGACTGTCGGGATCTTCTGAGACATGGACTTGAATTCAGATGATCCGATGAATGGTTGACTCCTGTGGGTGGCTCCCACTGCACCTGTGAATTTCAAACCCAGGCGTGAGCCAGCCGCCTTCTGTCGGGTGTCAGAGGGATGGCAGCCTCCGTCCAGTACTGTATACTTCAGTGGGACTTCCCCACCCTATTCTCACTGGGTGCCCAACACAGCCCTGCTCCCTAGCCCCACCCAGCCTCACTCAGGCCCTATCTTACTTTAATTTTTCCATGTATTTTTTGAAGGCCCCTTGGATTTACTCAGGCTCCCACTGTGGGGATCAAGGTTGAGTTGCTTGACTCGCTGTTTAGATCAGATCTAAATTATTTCCCAGATCTTGCAAAAGAGGAGATGGGAAGGCAGCTTTTATAAGCCCCAGGTGGCTGCTGAAGAAATGGTGAATTCGCCCATCCCAGGTGGCACTGTGAGTCCCTGGCTGGTTCTTTCCCATGCTAACAAGGGCTACTTTTGTGGAGTGCATCAGAAGAATGCCAAACAGGACGTGTCTGGCCTCCCTAGCTGCAGCACCTGCCCTTTCTTCCGTCTTTCACTGCGTGGGGGCTTACTTGTTGCCAGGAGGTTGGAAGCTATATCACTAGTTCTAATACCAGCAGAGCCACCCAGGGTGGGCAGGTTCCAGTGGCGCTTCCAGACAGAGACTAGGAAGGAAGACGGGGCGATCTGATGAACATCAGCCAAGGAAAAGTCTGTGGGTCCCAGGAGAATATTGCCTGCTCCTAAGCTGGAAGATGAGCTCCTAGGTTGGACAGCACTGCGCAACGGCCACGAGAATGGGCTTGACTCCACCGAGACTGTGGAGATGGTCCCGGACTGGTGGCCACCCTTTGTTCTCCGAGCCGTAGACAATGGACAACCACGTGCACAGCATTCATCCTGGAGCACTTACCTTGGAAAGAACAGGAAAGGCAGCCTGAGAGGGCTCGGCTTGGGGGCGAGGTCACTTGTTCAGATGAGCACTTCCACAGCCACTGGAGGCTTGACAGTGATAACAGAGATCATGGTTGAGTTGCCCTTCCTTGTGGGCCAGTCATAGGGGGACTTCCCTTCACACCCTTATTCGATAGCCTTCTAATCCTGGAAGGTAGGTATTATGATCCTCATTCCACAAATGGGGAAATCCAGTAGCAGAGAAATTAAGTGGCTTCCTCGGAGGCACAGAGCTAGACTTTAGACCAGTGGTTCTCACCTTCCTAATGCTGCGACCCTTTGTTACCGTTCCTCATATTGTGGTGACCCCCCCCCCCAACCATAAAATTATTTTCGTTGCTACTTCATGACTGTCACTTTGCTACTGTTAGGAATTGGGTGACCCCTGTGAAAGGGCTGTTCAACCTCCAAAGGGGTTGCGACCCACAGGTTGAGAACCACTGCTTTAGACCCAGGGCTGTCTGACCACAAGCACGATGCTCTCTTTGCCAGGCCTTGAGTTCTGCCTCCTTACGATTGGTCCCGATTCCTGGGCACAATCACACTCACACGGTGATACTGCTCTTAGAACATGGACCGGAGTGTCGCAACCTGACCTTCTGGATGGGATGCTTCATTCTTTGGATGACGCCCCATGCACCTACTTTCTCCCCCACCTCTTACTATTGGAAGTTTTCCTTTAAATCACTCTCTTCTCCACTATAGGACTTCTGATCCAGGCTTCCTCAGACAACTCTGTTTTTTCTGCGAGTCTCTCTCAGTCTGCTCTGATTTCTTACTTCTCAAGAACACTGGGGGAAACGGGGTCAGAGAAGAAGGAGGGCTAAGACAAGCTTGCCTTCTTTCTAACTTCCAACCCGACTGCTGGGCATGTGCTTCCTCCCCGCCACCCCCTGTCCTTTCTTTGGGTCTCACTCCTAATTTGATAGTGAGTCTCTTTTTGTGGCTAACTGACCTACCTTTGGATCCTAGATCTGCTTGCCCGGTAGCCCCTTGCACTTCAGCTCAGAGCTTTGCAAAGGAATGCCTTTATCACAGCCTGCTAGCCCTTATATCAGCTGTGCTACCGCCTCAGAAATAAGGTAAAAGAGAAAAGCAACACCTTTCACCTTTGGTCTTTTGCTAGATCTCACAGGGATTCAAGTTAAGAACATGCACCTGCTCCCTTGCAAGGTGGCAGCTGAAATCGATGATCCCTGTGGAAGTTGCCCTCATGAGAAATACCCGCAGGGTGTGTGCAGGCAGAACTTGCATCTGGAGTGCAGAGCTGAGCCGCTATCCTGTCACTGGGATGCTCGACATCTTGACCTCATATCTCTTGACTTCATTTGAAAGTCGAGTCCGTGTTTGTCTTCCTTCCCCAGCACCACCGTCCTCGTTGATCCTGCCTCCTGCTGCCGGCCCAGGTGCACTGACTTTGAGATTAAATAACTTGATTGGTTGCATGACCCTTTCATTTTTGAGCCGTGTGATCTTAACCTCTAGGAACCTTGGTATTCTCAGCGGCAAAATGGAAGTTATAATGTCTTTCTCTTAGGGCAGTTTTAGCTTTGAGGAAATATTTGCAAAAATCCCTAATTCTATTTTCCCCCCATATGCATGTTAGTCCAGGAATGATGTGTGTGTGTGTGTGTGTGTGTGTGGTCTCTCTCTTTCATATAATATTGTGAGCATCTGCCGTAGCATTTCACCTGATCCTAGCTGTAGGATTTTTGAAAGCAAGAATCATGTTTTGACTTTCTCCTTTCCCCAAAGTTTGCCAGGGTAGACCTCCTAATGGCAGCCCAGCAAATACCCTAATTGAATCCCCTCACCCGGTTCCTTTAGTCAAATAATTTCCAGAGTCTCAACTCTGGAGGGTTTTCAGAGAATAAAGCCAGGCCTACATTGGTCTGGAGTAGTGACAGGCCGACCGCTGTCCGTTTCAGAAGGGAGGAGGGAGTGAACAGCTGGCTTCTCAAGCTGTTCTGCTTTGTCGTCTGTGGCACTTTGGCCCAAAGGCTTCAGAGAAAAAAACCCGAGCCTTAGGATGGGAGCCCTCTGGGAGTGTATCTGAAGTGATCAGGGAAAATAGGGAAACTTCCTACCTAGCCACGTTTGAGTCTTTCCTGGAGACCCTCTTCGGTCTCCTGTCAGCCAAGCATGGAGTGTGTGTTTCAGAGAGGTAAGCAGCAGGCCTGGGGTAAAGCAGCTTGACAGTGCCAAAGCCTCTCTCTCTCCAGTAACGCAAAGGAAGCCAAACCCCAGCCAGACCCTCACCACCACCAAGTCACTGACGACTCAGAGGACAGGGTCGAACTGCCCCTGTGAGGTTCCGAGACAGTGACGCTTTATGAGAGTAGAAAGCGTCCTCCTGCCTCGAAAGGCCTGCTGACCCTGAAGTTTGCTGCCCAGTGCATGACCACCCCACCAGGGCTCCACAGAGGAACGGCAACAATCGGCTGTAGGAGAGACGCAGTCTAATGAACTAATTCTGAGGCTATCGGGACTTCTCATGCTAAAGAGCTTATTCAGATATGCCAAGGGATTTGCATAGTTTATGAATTTCTTCTTTAAGCCCAGCTTTAGTGAAGTCCCCCTTCCTGTGAGATGTATCAGAGCCCCTACTCCGCTTGGAACATGAGTGGTGGCTCCAGAAGAAGACACGTCTTAACCTTGTAATTCCTGGCTCTTACGCGTTTACTGTCTTTGGGAGAGGGCCCTTTGCAAAGGTAAGCTAAGGGTCTTGAGGTGAGGAGATTACCTCGGATCAGTTAGATGTGCCATCAAAAGTGTCCTTAGAAGAAAGAAGGGAAGCAGCTAACTCAGAAGAGAAGGCAAGGTGAAGACAGGCAGAGATTGCGATGATGCAGCCACAAGCCCAGGAGTGCAGGGGGCAGCCCTTTCAAGCAGGAAGGAGCAAAGGCGAGATTCTCTCCGAGAGCCTCCCCGGGGTCTGAAGCTCTACCAACACCGTGATTTTAGAGTTCTGGTCTCCAGAACTGTGCTAGGACACACTTCTGATCCAGTTTGTGGAAATCTGTTCCAGCAGCGACAACCAATGAATACGGGGAGCAGTGTGCTCAGCTACACCGTTCCCCAGCCTCCTTTGCAAGCAACGTGAGCCCGGAGTACATTTTAAGACCGAAGCAGAAATGTTAAATGGGCCTTCTTACGCACTTCGGCATGTTGTCAGGAGAGACCAGTCCCTGGAGAAGGGCATCGTGCTTGGTAAAGAGGAGGGACAGTGAAAAAGCGGCAGGCCCTCCGCGAGCGGACTCGGGCATGGGTGCAACTGTGAGGACGACAGGTTCAGGCTGGATTGTGTTCTCTTGGGCACAGGATCAAAATGGACGCGATGGCACTAACAAACGCCTGATGCAGCTGGGAAGGCTGGTCTTTTTTTTTTTTTTTGCTTTTCAGGTTTTTTCGTTTGGTGTTATGGCCACAAGAAAACAAAAGCCCCTTGCTCTGGCGAAGGTAAAGTTGGAGCGATGTGGCCAGAGGCCTGGGCCTGCTGTATTACAGACAGGCGCGCGCGCGCCTGGTCTCATCACGTCACATCACAGCTCGGCGGTGTGCCCACTTTAAAAATGCCCTTTCTTTGTGGTCATCTGCTCCCCAAACGAAAAGCCACACTTTCACCTCTCTTGCCAAGTCTCCAAGCTTCAGCCACTGACCTAGGACAACACAGGGCACACGGCCCCGGGGTCGCCCCGCTGAAAGCCTGCTCCATGGCAGGTGGCAAGTGTCTCCTCGGCCACAAGCCGTGACTCAGGCCACAGGAGCGGGCAGCGGGTGTTTTTGTCTCTTACTGCCTGCAGTGGGGCTGGGGGTGGGCGATTCCCTGCGGGAGACAGCACTCCTCTTGAGCGAGGACGCTGCAGACGCCTCAGCCTTGGGAGGTAAGGGACAGAAACGGAAAGAGGGGGGCGCCCCTCGCTAACCCGGGGTAGCATGTGTGGGATTCAACAAGGCCTAACCCGGGGTAGCATGTGTGGGATTCAACAAGGCCGGAGCCAGGGGTGTGTAAATAGGAGAATGGCGACACTATTTCCCAGCCAAGGTCCTGGTAAGCGTGTTGATGGCTTTTGGAAGCTTAAAGTAAGCACGGGCCAGCACCAAGGGACGCAGAACTCCCAGAGTCGATAGTGAGAAGACGGACCGACAGACTCAGCAACGCCTTTCCCGCGGGCCACCAGTTGACAGTGTTCTGTGGAAGAATCTGCAGGACACCTTCTTTTTTCAGAGGACAAGGAGCTCACTGCTAGGAGGGCTGCAGCACTATTGGGAAGCTCAAGAGTGGTGGCTCTCGGGAGGCCACGGCTGACCTGAGATGCTCTCACAGCAGAGCACGTAACATACCCAAACAGTAGAGGCCAGGAACAGGTCGGCCAAATGAACCATCATTTGCTGTAAGATTGGAAGGCTGATCCCCAGAGAACAACTAGGGAGGTGGTTAACGGAGCACAGCATTCCCAGAGGGCAGGGGGCGGGACAAGCAGCCAACAAGCTTTGCTCAGTCTCTGCAACCAAGTAGCATAAAACATGGGCACGGAGGTTGAAGAGGGCAGCCGCCTCAATACAAGTATCACCTCAATACAAGTATCACCATCTACGTTCGGTTCTTGGTCCCTGAAGCCACTCACTAGAAAAATCAGAGCCCTAGGCGGAATGCCCCGCAATACCATGGCAAATGCAGACAATCTCTCAGTCCTTCAGAAAGAAACGTAGGACCACCCACTCAAGTGATCAGGTACTGGGGAGCAGGGATGACCACCCATTGTGAACACTATTGGGACACGGCTCAGCGGCACCAGGAAAGGTGACCATTGACTCTTCACACATGAGGATTAACTACTAAGTAAAATGCTGAACTTCACTGCTGCTCCCCATTGTTCTACACGCTGCAAGACTCTAGAGCCCCAAGATGGTTGATTCAGACAGTTCCTGGCAGCTCAAGTGTTACTGGAGGGACTGATTTTTGGAGCTTCCTGTACTATCGTTTTTCTGTAACATCACTACAGTGTAGATGTAGAGTTGGCTTCTAATGAACTTGAAAATGCCCTGATTGTTACCAGTCACCTCCATGGAGCCACATGATTTTCTCCCCACTGGCCTGTTATCTTCCTGTATTCTGCACCTTGCATGTGGCTACGCGAGTCTGAAGAGGGATGTAAGGATTTGAGTTGGACTGGGCTGGGCCATCGATATGTAATTACTTCTTGATATAAAGCTTTCAATATACATTTAAGAGTGTCATTAGATTTGCTTGTCCAATCAACCCTGCCTAGCACATCACTTTTGAGGTTAGGTTCTGAGATTAGTCTGGGTGCTGTTTCTTGGAGCACTTGCTTTAGAACAGCTGTATGTGGTTAAGGGACCAAAGGCTGTAAATAACTACACGAGGGGTTGGAAGAGGCCTTCCTCCATTCTAGCATTCAAGTAAGACCGCAGTCTTATTTGTAACTGTAGTTTACACAAGCACACAGTACACCTTGCACCAGAGAGTCCCATTAAGCTGTACCTGTATGCCAGATCCCCGCAAACTATAAGTGCTGGTTTACATGATAAAAGTTTTGGGTGTAAAACACTACATGATGAAGGGGTGTTTATCACTCTCAGGGACTCATGTGGGGAATCTGTGCTTCCTATTTAAGGCATAGGGGCTTTTGTGCTGGGCTGCTAATGGCAAGATTCAGTCTAAAACCACCGGCCACTCTGGAAAAAAAGATGAGGCTTTCACACGCCCTCTCCTTTAGTGTAGCTATGAGCTGATGGCAGTGAGTGTTATAGCACTCTGGTTGCTTCCAACATTATCCATCACTAAGGTGACCAGACGTCCTGCTTTGGGCAGGACCGTCTTGATTTTTAACAATTTTTCCTGCGTCCTACGGCGTTTTAAAAAAGTCCCGATTTTTGGAAAGAATGCATGACAAGCTAGGGTATACGGTTTTTGGCTGCCATGTGGCTATTTCGCCAGGATATGAGTTTTATCAATGGTGTCCCACTTTACCAATGTTAAAATCTGGTCCCCATTACACTACCTTGAGGAAGATTTTTGACAAAAACCTTTAAGACTGACAGCTTGGATCAAAGTAAGGCTTAGCAGTACTTGAGTATTTTAAGTGTTTCAGAACCACAGAACCCATGGATCAATAAAACACAACACCGACGAAACTACCGGTTTCCCTAAAACGGAGTCTGGAAGCTAGATGGTTTTCAATAGAGGATTTTAGGCAATGAAACCCCCAGTCCTTCACTTTACAAACTGAGCAAATGAGAACACACGACTTCTTACTGACTTCCTGAGCAAGTGCGGATGAACGTGAGAAGATGAGCATCCAAATACGAGTACTGGGACCTATTTTGAACCCTTGCACCTCTGCCCTGAAGAAAAACCGCGAAATGGGCCTGCACCCCAGCAGCTGGGAGCATCCTGACCTTTCTCCGGTCTGTTTCAGCAAGGGCAGGGCCGATTGCCAACAGGGTGTGATGATCCTCCTCTCCGACAACACTTAATTCCATAATTATCTCTGACTATGTACTGAATTCGATAATAATCTCTTCCTACACAGAACCATGGTGGAATAGTGGTTAAAACACTTCTGCGAACTGAAAGGTAGACTGCCTGAAGCCACTGCAGGAGATAAAGACGGGCAGCTGTTCTGTATTTATAGGCTATGAGTTGTAATTGACTTGAAAGCAGAGCAGTGGTTCTCAACCTTCCTCATACCACCACCCTTTCACAGTTCCTCATGTGGTAGTGACCCCCAACCCTAACATTATTTTCATTGCTACTTCATAACTGTAATTTTGCTTGTTATTAATTGGGAGACTCCTGTGAAAGGGTCGTTCGTAACTACAAGCTTTTCTTTTGTGTCATTGATTTGTTGTTGTTTTATTGTATATTGTTGGTTTTGCTCGGTCTTGTTTTTGTGCACATTATTTCCGCAGGTCTATCTAAATAAGATAGGCCGAATGAACAATCTGGAGGAGAAAACAACGGAACCGACAGTTTCGGAGGGACCTGGGATAGGGGGAGGTGGGGGGAAGGGAAGAGGTGTTAACAAACCCAAGAACAAGGGAACAACAAGTGATCCAAATCGGTGGTGAGGAGATGTAGGAGGCCTGGTAGGGCGTGATCAAGGGTAATGTAACCAAGAGGAATTACTGAAACCCAAATGAAGACTGAGCATGATAGTGGGACAAGAGGAAAGTCAAAGGAAATAGAGTAAAGAGCTAGGAGGCAAAGGTCACTTATAGAGGTCTAAATAAAGGCATGTACATATGTAAATATATTTATGAGGATGGGGAAATAAGATCTATGTGCATATATTTATAGGTTTAGTATTAAGGTAGAAGGACATTGGTCCTCCACTCAAGTACTCTCTCAATGCAAGAATACTTTCTTCTATTAAATTGGCATTCTGTGATGCTCACCTTCCCGACACAACTGCTGAAGACAAAGCGGGTGAATAAGCAAATGTGGGGAAGAAAGCTGATGGTGCCCTGCTATCAAAAGATATAGCATCTGGGGTCTTAAGCTTGAAGGTCAACAAGTGGCCATCTAGTTGAGAAGCAACAAAGTCCATGTGGAAGAAGCATACCAGCCTGCGCTATCACCAAGTGCCGAAGTGATCAGTTATCAGGCATCAAAGAACAAAAAAATCGTATCATTGTGAATGAGGAGGGGAGTGCAGAGTGGAGACCCAAAGCCCATTTGTAGGCCACTGGACATCTCCTTACAGAAGGGTCTCTGGGAAGTGACCAGCCAGCATGGTGCGATGTAGCACCGATGAAACATACAATATTCCTCTAGTTCCTAAATGCTTCCTCCCCACCCCACTACCCCCCACTATCATGATCTCAATTCTACCTTACAAGTCTGGCTAGACCAGAGGAGGTACACTGGTACAGATAGGAACGGGAAACACAGGGAATCCAGGGCGGATGATCCCTTCAGGACCAGTGGGGTGAGTGGCGATACTGGGAGGGT